TTTTCTTTTTTTTTTTCTTTTTTCTCCTTTTTACTGTGGGACTAAGCAGTGGATGAACTCGAATCAAGAATCTGAATTCAAGACACCCCACGACACAATGTTGAGGCTACACATTAAGCAGGCCTGGTGATTTTTAGATTCCTCTTTCTTCCTTTATTCTTCTCTTTATCCCTCCATTGCCTCTGATCTACCACAGCAAAGCAGGCGTTTGAAGTTGTCAAGACTGTGGCTTTACTGTTGAGTCCTCAAAGTGCTTATGTGACAGGTAGGCAAGAGCTGGAGGGGAGTAATGTGACTCCCACATAGTCCACAGCCTTTCCAGTCTCCATTCTCCACGCCCCTGTCTCCCACTTGCCTCCCGTGCACAGGCTTAGTCTCTGTGGTGATGTCACTCTGCTGAGCTTCCTTTTTGTCGAGTAACAACCCAAAGGTGCGCTTTGGGCTTTGGGGAAGACACACCGCCACCACAGCCCCATACGGTGTCTCCCCAGGGAGCACAGTAGGGTGAGGTAATGTGTTGTTAACCCCTCAGCCACCTCAACGTTTGGAAGTCGTACCATCAGCAGTGGCCGCTATCGCAACGATGATCTGATTGTTTGAGTAACCCTGTGGCCTCTCCAGATGGTCAGGCCTCTGAGCCGGTTTATGATAACCATACAGTTAATATCTGGCCCACATAACGCTCTCCCAGCTTCCTGTCCTACCCCCCCCCTCCGCTCCCCTCATACTCTGCTCTCATTTCTCCCCGCCACCCTCTGTGCTATTGTCTCTGATGCCTTCTCCTGAGTGCCCTGTTTTATTTCTTTATTTCACTCATCTTTTTAAATTCCAGAATTCATTTCGTTTGTCCCCAGGCACAAAGGGTGATGGCTAGAGACGGTGTCGCAAATTAAATTTGCTCCCCTTGGACGTGGGCACGATGGAACAGTAGAAGGAGAACAGGAGCAAAGAAAGCTGGAGGAAAAAGCCCATTTCCTATGCATTACTGTCTCTTTCCTCAGGGTCTATAGTGGAGTAACACCAACACCTCTATCGCTTTTTTTCCCTCTCTTTAATTTTCTTTTTCTTGTTCTCTCCCCGTCTCGCTCTCTGCTGCTGCTGCTGTTCTTCTCACGCAGCCTAACCTGAAGGTCTCTGTGCTCTTGCTACCACTGCTAACACAATCTGACCCAGTTTATTAGTTTGGGTCTAGTGAATCATTAATCGAGGTTATCTAACTGTTCCTATAATGATTCCGCTGTGACTCGTGTGTCAAAGCCTCTCTGTGTTCGCAACTGATCAAGCTGTACCCTCGTACTTCTTGCTCCACGCATTTGTACTCTATCATAACCATCTTGCAGAAAAAGCACCGTCCCTCAAGCTAGACTATATGTTTAATAGGTGTGCTATGCACTGTAATATGTCATTGTGTCAGAGCACAATGCGCGGACTAAGTGCACTGAATGCAAATTAATCTTGTGGGATGGCAGCAGCTGAATAGAGTGTGGTTTTGGGGAAAGGAGGGGAGCAAAGGGAGGGACAGAAGGAGGGCTAATAGTGGCGACAGAGAAGAGAGGGAGAGAAAAGAGCATGTGAGGAGGAGGAGGAGGAGGGATGTGGGATGTAGTCATCGCCAGGCCCATTCATCATGCAATGCCTGCTGGGATGCGCTGGGGTCAGTCCCGCACAACACAATTACAGCCTGTTCTGGTGTGTTGTGCTCGGCTCCACTGTGTTCCGACTATGTTCTGTTGTCTTTTGTTAGATTTCCTCTGTTCGAGCGCTCTTGTTTTCCCCGTTTGCGTGTTTTCTTCTGCTGCTCTCGTCTGTATGCTTGCGTTCGGTGGCAGATTTCTCATCTTCTTTTTTTTCCTGCATATTTTTGAACTTGCTGCTCAAGCTATCACTAAATGATCTGCTGCAGTACTTTGAGCAAAACATCTCAATTAGCTGAGCATTTGTTATGTTTTTGTTTTGTTTCTTTGAGTCTTAATCCCTCTACTTTGTCTTTTGCAATTAATTGCCGTATTTATTTTTTTTTGCTCATGTGGTGTAGCCGCTCGCTGGGCTCTTGCTCTAGCAGTCTTCTTTCATCCACATCTGAATTGCAGCCACTAGCTTGATTCATGTGAGTGACAGGCCTGGTTAGCACAGGGGTGTGAGATGCTAGTAAGCATGTTGTTTACCCTGCCTGCCTGACAGTCCTCTATGAGCCCACAGATGTTTCCAGAAAGCTGTAAATATCTGCTGTGTGCTCTAATGTCAGCTGACAGCATATCCGATCATAAGGATATCTCTTGTCTTCCTGTCCGTGTCTGTTCTTCATGCAGTGAAAAATAGTTTTCCCTGCCAGGAAACCTTTTAGGTGGTCTAAAGGCCTAAATGAAAACATCACGCAAGGATTCAGCATCATCGACTTTTGAAGGCTGATCCAGATATTTTTGTTAACATAGTACAAGGCAGGACTTTATGTTGTCACAGTGGCATCTGTTTCTGTCACTTTTAAAAAAATATAATACGATGGATGATTTGATTTGACTTTGCAGCACCATGCTGCATATATTTAAATGTAAGAATTTGGTGCTTTAAGGAACAAACTTTATATAAGTCTGCCATTTTCTTAAAGTTTTAAGTTAGTATTTTATTTTAGAAAATATACATTACAGGTATAATCACAATGTACGCAACCGTTGGATTCTTTTCTTTTTTCATTTGGATGAAAAACAAGCATTTTTATGTTTCTCTGCTGATTGTGGTTGATGGACATGATACCTATTGATCTGATCATTTTGTCAATTAATTTATTATTCATTGGGTTTATAAAATGCATATCACATGTTCCCAAACTCAAAGTCTCTAATGATGTCCAATCAACAGTCCAGAACCTCAAAATGTTTTATGTACTTTTAATGTGGGAAAGACAAGGAAAATCAGACTCAAACGATTATCAAAATTGTTGTCATTATCAGCTAATCGTTTCAACACAAAATTGAATACATAAACAAAATGCCATTAGCAATTATTAATTGGTCAGATTGAGTTGCTGTCTAGTGTAGTTTATGTATGTCTGAATGAGTCATAGTAGGTTCCAGTTCTATGTTTTGATGTTTAATGGTGGGGCTGCTGCGCTTTAGTTTACTTAAGTGACTAATTATGCCTTTTAATTAATGATATCATTAGTAGAATGGGTCATATTTTGTAATATATCATGAATGTGGTGGAAAATTCTTCAGCTGAATTTCCTTTCTGTTGTTTAGATCTTATTTTCCAAGCCCCATATGTAATTTTGATGATTTATCCTGCCAAAAACAAATTCCTTGAAATGACAAATACTCAGTGTTCTTTTTAGAAATGTATTCAAGCTGTTTATTAAACAGCATGTTGACCATGGGGGAATTGTGGATTTTCATTTGGTTATGTATCTAAGCAGTCATTTCCAGTAGTTGTTGAAAGATTTCTTGTAACAGAAGACAAACGCACCCAAAGGTCCCAGAAGTTTACTTACTCGCTAGGGATGCATTGGGCGGTGGCTTTGCTGACGGGAAATAATAGGAAGCCCCAAGATTGACTAAAAGAATGGCAAATCATGGCCAGAAAATGCAACAGTTTAAAGTACAGAGCATCTGGAAACAATTTGAAACAATGGATTGTCTTCAGTAGGCTCCATGTCA